CACAGAGTTGAGGGAGGTGGCAATGGAGCAGGCCCTGCTGCCCTGCACACGGCCACTGCCATGTGCTGTGTACTGTGAGTCACACAGCATGTGCCATGTGCTGTATGATGTGTGCCATGGGCTGTGCACCATGTCCATGTACCTTGTGACACATGCTATGTGATGCCTGCTGAATATCATGTACCATGTGTTGTGTGCTGTGTGCCACGTGACCTGTGGTGTGTCATGTGCCATGTGCTGTGTCCATGTATCCTGTGCCACGCAACCATATGATGTGTGCCTTGGGCCATGTATCCCGTGCATGTACCTTGTGACATGTGCTGTAATGTGTCATGTCCCATGGGCCACATGCTGTGTCCCGTGTGCCGTGCATCATGTGCCACATACTGTGTGCCATGTGCTGTGTGGCACATGCCATGCACCATGTGCTGTATGCCATGTGCTCCGTGGCATGTGTCATGCAGTGTTGCATGCCCCATGTGTCTGTCCCGTGTGCCATGTGCTGTGTCCTGTATGCCATGTGCTGTGTTCCATGTTCCGTGTGCATTGTCATGTGCCACATGCTGTGTGTTGCGTGTCGTGCCATGTGCTATTTGTCATGTGCCACGTTCCATGTGCCACACACCATGCTGTGCCATGTGCCGGGCACTGTGCCACGCTGCTACCACGTGCTGTGCACTGCTGATGCCAGTCCTGTGCCAGCAGATGCTCCTGGGGAGGTGACATCTCCTAGGGCAGGGTGTGACCAAGCCCACCACAGGGACTGAAACTGGGGTCTGGCACAGCAGGGCAGGGGCTGTCCCAGACCCAGCCTTGGGGGTGGCACTGAGCTGGGCTCTGGGATGCTGCCATCACCCCGAGTGAGGGCACGGGTGCCAGACTGTCCCTGTGTGGGCAGACATTCAGTGGGGTGGCCCCGCTGGCCCTTGGACACTGCCACCAGTGCAGGACACAGACAGGGGCACAGACAGGGCACACTGCCTGCACCCCCATTGAATGCGTATATATAGCTCCTGATTCATCTCCCATAAAGCGGGATCCTGGATGTTGCCATGGAAACCCAAACCTGCTGCCTGGGAGGCTGCAGCACTTGCCGGCCCTGGTACGGGCAGGGGGCTGCCCTGGCACCCCGGTCCATGGGGGCAGATGGGTGCCCCAGGGCGGGTGCGGGGAGACCCCGTGGTGCTGGGGGTGTCCAGAGTCACTGTGTCAAGCTGTACCCGCTGGCAGCGCAGAGGGGCTGAGAGGGGTGGCAGGGGTGACAACGCTGGCAGGAGTGGAGGGGTGGCAGGGCTGGCAGGGATACAGGTGTGGCAGGAATGACAGAGGTGGCAGAGCTGGTGGGGGTGACAAGAGTGGCAGAGCTGGCAGGAGTGGCAGGACACCAGTGTCACTGTCCCACAGTGCTGCAGACCCCAGAGAGAGTCTCACCACCTCCCCCCTCTCAGCCAAGCCCCGGCCAGGGGCTCTGGTGGTGCCAGGGTCAAGCCCCCACACCCCTCACCCTGGCCCTGTGCTCACCCTGCAGGGGCTGGATAATGAAGCTGGGTAATTATTGACAGTGCCTGCGCTCCACAAGGCAATTCCTTGGGGAGTGGCAGGAGAGGGGCTGGGAGGTGTCCTGCCTGCCTGGGGCACCCCGGAGTGCTGGGGGGGGGGGGAGGAACAAGCTCCCACGTGCAAATACCCCAGGAGGGGAGATGGGCAGGGGGAGCATCCAAACAGGATGGTCAGGACACTGTGGCCCCCTCCCAAAGCACTGGGGAGAGCCTGGGGCAGGATGGGGGGCATTGGGGTGCAGGGGTCAGGAAGGGGTGCACTGGGGCAGGATGGAGGCAGTGGGGTGCAGGGGGCTCCAGGGGAGGGGATGCACTGAGGCAGGATGGGGTGTATCAGGGGGCAGGGGGAACTGGGGTGGAAGGGACCCTGGGAGGGGATGCACTGAGGCAGGATGGGGGAATGCTGGGGTGCAGGGGGCATCTGGAGGGGTTGTACTGGGGCAGGGTGGGGACATCAGAGTGCAGAGGGCACCAGGAAGGGGTGCACTGAAGCAGGGTGGGGGCATTGGGGTGCAGGGGGCACTGGGAAGGTGTGCACTGGGGCAAGGTGAGCAGATGTTGGTGTGCAGGTGGCATTGGGAGGGGCTGCCCTGGGGCAGGGAGACTCCAGGGGTGGAGGACCCTGGGTGCTGTTGAAAGAGCTGCCTCTGTGTCCTGGGCTCCGCTGGCAAAACCTGTCACCTTGCTATGACCCCCCACAGAGCTCAGCACCCCCCATGAGCCTGGCACCCCGCCACAGCCCGGGCTGGCTGCCTGGCCATTGCTCCTGGCTGCTGATAAGGTCCCAAAGGAAGGGTCCCCACCCCGATGTGTCCCTGATAACTCCAAGGCTTCCCGCTTCCCGCCTGACGCCCGTGGGAACACACGGCCTGCCTGGGAACGGCAATAAATATTTATTTCCGCAGGGCAGGATAGGCGGAAAGAGGGGTCACGGCCATGTGCCCCTGCCTGGAGGGAGTGAGGCCACAGGGAGAGCCACAGTGCACAGCTGGAAAAGTCCCCCATCCCCAGGGAGGTGGCACAGTGCCATGTCCCCCAGCCCCGTGGGAACCCCTTGCCCCAGGTGACATCTGGGGGTGTGTTGTGGGGTGCCAAGGGGTGCCTATGCAGAGTGCTCCTGCTGCAATGATTCTAAGCAGGTTGGGGTGAGTGTCCCCCCAGGTCCCTCAGGCCATGGGCCACTGCGTAGGCAGCTCCACATCCCCCATCTCCTCCTGGTAGCGCTGGTTAAAGAGGGCATTTTGCTGGGGAGAGAAGTGGTCGCGCCAGTCCCCGACCACACCTGCGGACGGAGGGCAGAGGGAGTCAGGGATGCTGCCCCTGTACTGCCCGTATCCCCCCAGGCCCTACCCCCTCACCTTTGCGCATGAAGCGGCCCTGGCTGTGGTCCATGATCTCGGGGGGGATGAGGGAGTAGTTGGCCATGGCATTGTCCCGCATGGCGGCAAAGCTGCAGTGCTGCTCCAGGGCTGCCAGCGTTCCCGGGGCCAGCGGGCACCCCAGGAAGGTGCTGAGGCGCTGCGCTGTGCCACACAGGTCCTGGGGCAAGGGCATGGTCAGCGCTGGGCACCGGTGGGGACAGGGACAGGGATGGGGACACTGCAGGGCTCACCTGGTGCAGCTCCTCGTAGGTGACGTAGAGGATGTCCAGGAGGTGCCGCTGGCCCAGCCAGCCCTTGACGTGGTCAAACCAGGAGCCGTAGTGCACTGGGGGGAAGGCAGGGAGTGATGGGGGGCCCTGAGGCTGAGTCCCCCCTGCCAGGGACACCCCCAGCCCTTACCTGTGCCCTCGAGAAACTGCGTGAGGAAGGCATCAAAGGAGCCAGGGTCAGGCAGGAACTTGGCCAGGCGGTGGAAGTGGTAGAAGGAGACAGCGACATCCTTGGGGTTCCTGGCCACATAGATCACCTGGGGGGGGGACAGTGTCACCCCCACGGTTGGGAGGATTCTGCTCCACCTGGCTCAGAAAGCTCCTGCTATTTCCCCAGCTGTGGGAAGCCCCATGGGTTCAGGATGTCCCTGCGCGGACCCCCCCAGGCTGTCAGGGATCCCCCCAGGCCATCAGGGATCCCCCCAGACCATCTGTCTCCCTCTCACCTTGGCCTTGCTGCGCTGCAGGGCAGGGGCCAGGACGTGGGCGGGCATGTGGGTGGTGAGCAGCCGGGGGGTCTCTGTGTCCCGCAGAGCCTCCCGGCAGTAGATCTGCTCCAGCCAGGGAGCCCGCTCCCAGTTGGGAATGGTCTTGGCTGGGCGGGCGTCCCCAAGGCTGAACATCAGCGTCAGGATCTCCTGCATCCAGGTGGTGCCTGTGGAGGTGGGAGTCAGGGCAGGGCCAGCTCAGCATAGGGCAGTGCATGGCGTGGCACCACGGCACGGTATGGAATGGCATGGCTCAGCACAGCATGGCACTGCAATGGCACGTGCCATTGGATGGCACAGCATGCTGTGGAGCAGATCAGCACAACTTGGCTTGGCATGGAATGGCTCAGCTCAGCCTGGCCTGTCCTGTCCCATCCTGGCCAATCCCATCCCAACCTATCCTGTCCCATCACAGCTCAGCTCGTCCCAGGGCAGCAGCTGGGATGGCAGTACCATGTGGCCCCCCTGGACCCCCACAGAGACACCACTCTGGGGCTGGAACAGTGTGGGGCAGCAGCACAGGGTATTCGGGGGGCGGGAGCCGCTGGCCAGGGGTCCCCACGCTGTGCCAGTGGTCCGGGTGTCCCCGAGCCCAGCCCCCTCCCAGCCCCGGCGGTAGAGCCCGACCCGCGCCCACCCTCCAGCCGGAGGTCTCCAGCGCTGTCCCCGTGTCCCCCCGCCCCTCACCCGATTTGGGGTAGGTGGCGATGAGCACATCGGTGGGGCGGAAGGCGAAGGCAGCGGCGAAGCCGAGGGACTCCTGGGTGTGAAGGTGGCCGGGCAGGGCGATGCCCGCGAAGGTCTCGGTCACTTCCATGCGATCCATGGCCCGCCCGGGTGGGACGCGCCGGGCGCCGCTTAAATAGCGCCGAAAGAGGAAGCGGCCCCGGCGGGCGGGGGGCTGGACTCCCCCGGCACATTCCTGCCGGGAAGCCGAGAATCCGGCCGCACTGGGGCCATCGACGGGAGAGCGCTGCTGGCAGGGGCTGGAGACACCCGGGATGGGGTGGGATGGGATTGGGTAGAATGCGGGGGGGGGGGGGAGGATGGGATGGGTTCCTGCATGCCCAGACCCACAATCGCGTCCAGGAGAGTCGGGGGAGCCGGGTCACCTCGACAAGGGCACCGGGAAGCATTGCCGGCCACAGCAGCCCACGGTGACCCTGAGAGGTGCCAGTCCTGCACCGTGCCCCACCCTGGGCTCCCCACAGCTGGCACCACGCAGCAGGAAGGGATTCCCATCCCAGCCCACACCAAGATGAGGTGGCCAGCTGGACCGACCACCTCCACGTGGCTCCTTGCCATTCCCAGCAGCCCCACCAAGGCCTTGCTGGGAAGGACACCACAGCCCCCGTGCCAGAACCAGCTGGGATGCTCAGTCCCCACAGATGACGGTGCCTCAGTTTCCCCTCAGGATGCTTCAGGGCGGGGGATCCCAGCACGCGTGGAGGACCATCAGCAGCTCCACACCATGGCTGTGCCACCCCGACTGCTGCCCCCGGCATGTGGCGGCTCCGGCGCCGTGGTGGGGGGTGGCTCTGGGGTGGCTGGAGCCCATCCCAGCCCTGCCGCCGCACGCAAGCTGGAAAACATAATTCAGAGCCGTCGCAGACAGCAGCTGCCTGAGCGTCCCAGGGCCAGGGTGAGCGGGGACAGGGGTTCCGGGGGTGCCGGGGGTGCCTGGGGTACCAGTGCTAGGCTGGGGGTGCCCATGGATGCCAGTGCTGGGGAGGCAAAGGCGGGGATGGGCCTGGCACTTTCCCAACCACAAAAAATCTGGGCTTTATTAGAGGGGCTGGGAGTGTCACCGTGGCTCAGCAGAGAGGCCCCGGCACGGCACAGCCACCGGGACTGGGCTGAGGGAGGCTGTGGCCATGGAGCACTGGCACTGCCAGGCGGGCACAGGGCACCCAGGGAGGGGCGACGCCACGCTCCTGGTTATTCATTGACGGTGGGAGGGGACGGCAGGAGCAGGGCAGCCATCCTGGTGCATGTGCTCACACGGTGGTGGCAGGTCATCCCTTTTCCTCAGCAGCATCCAGCAGGAGAAGATGTCGGACAGGAGTGTGTGGGTACTGGCACTGGCACTGGCGCTGGCACTGCCCTGTGCTGGGCAGCAGTACCGGGAAGAGGCTGAGCGCATCATGACCACCACGCCAGTCATCGACGGGTGAGCAAAGGTCGTCTGGGCCTCAGGGTGCCCGGCTGCTCCAGCACCCTGGGAAAAACCCAGCTGGGAAACCCTACTGGGACAGGCCGATGGGGGATTCCTGTGCTGGGCACCTCAGGGCTGTGCAGAGACAGGGAACAATTTTCCCAGGGGATCCCTGTGCTGGGCACCCTGGGGTGTGCAGGGACAGGGGACAGCTTTCCCAGGGAATTTCCATGCTCAGCATTCCTGGGGCCATGCAGGGCAGCTTTTCCAAGGGATCCTTGTGCTGAGCACCCCAGGGCTGTGCAGAGAGAGGGGACAGCTTTCTCAGGGGATTCCGTGGGACCATCTGTGCAGCTGAGGGGATCCCCAGGGCAGTGCAGCCCAGCAGGAGTGGGCAGGGTGCCAGGAAGTTGGAGTCAGGCTTCCCCGCGGGAAGTCCCTGCTTGGGGCAAGTGAGTCAGTCCTGTGGAGTTATGTCTTAAGGGATGTCCCCAGTCTGTTCTCAGGAGGTTCCAATCCCCCACAGGAACCCCCTGTGGCACCAGTGCTGTGCCACAGCAGTCACTGGAAGAGGGAGTGGGGCAGGGGGAGCCAGGGGTGTGGGACTGTGATGCAGGGGGAGAAGTGGGAGCCAGCCTGTGGGCCTTGCCCACTTCCCCAGTGGCACTGCTGGGTGCAGGATAAGGGTGACAGGATGTCCCTGCAGTGGTGACATCCCACAGAGGAGATGGTGGTAACGTCCTGCCCGAGGGATGCTGTGCTGGCTCCCTGGGTACAAGGGCTCGTGGGGGATGGGGATGGAGGCTTGGAGGGGTGCACAGGAGGGTCCTCCAGGAGGTCCCATGTGGGGCTGTCCCCACATGGGCTGGCTCCTGTTTGGAGCTGCTTGGGTGGCTTTTGGCAGAGGGGTCAGATGAGTGGGTAGATGGCAGGAAGGATGATGGATGGATGGATGGATAACAGATGGAAGATGGATAGGTGGATGGATGGATGGAAGGATGGGTGGATGGATGGATGAATGGAATGACAGCCAGATGCAGGGACTGTGTGTGCAGCCAGCCAGGAAGCTGGGCAGCAGGAGGGCAGAGGACCAGGCTTCCCCTCAATGCCCATCCCTGCCCTGCCCAGGCACAACGACCTGCCCTGGCAGCTCCTCAAGAGGTTCAACAACCAGCTGAGGGTGTCAGCAGCCAACCTGACACTGCTGAACGACACCCACACCAACATCCCCAAACTACGCCGCGGACACGTGGGCGGGCAGGTGGGATGGCACAGTGGGGGGGGCACCGGGGCAGGTGCTGGGGAGAGCAGGGGGCACCAGGGTGTGCAGGGTCACCAATGAGGGCACTGGGGAGGATAGGGGGCAATGGGGATGACAGGGACACTGGGGAGGGCACTGGGGCAGGCAGGGGTCCCTGGGGTGGGCAGGGGCACCAGGAAGGGCACTCAGATGGGCAGGGACAATGGGATGGGTACCAGGGTGGACACCAGAGTGGATAGAGGGCACTGGGAAGAACACTGGGGTGGGTACCAGGGTGGGAAGAGGTCACAGGGGTGGGCATGGATACTGGTGAGAGTACTGGGAAGGACATTAGGTCAGGCAGGATGCACTGGGAAGGACACTGGGATGGGCAGGGGCACTGGGGAAGGCACCGGGACTGAGGTGGGTACTGGGGCGGGCAAGGGCACCAGGGTGGGTGGCAGCGGTCCCGGGTCTGTGTCCCCATGCTGATGGGGTACCTGGGCAGTTCTGGTCCGTGTACGTACCCTGTGAGACGCAGAACAGGGACGCGGTGAAGCGCACGCTGGAGCAGATCGATGTGGTGCAGCGCATGTGCGACCTGTACCCAGAGACCTTCGAGTGCGTCACCGACAGTGCTGGTGAGGGGGCACGGGGCTGGGGCATGGGGGGCTGGAGGTGCTGGTGTGCTGTGCCCACCCCACCTGATGCCCCCCACCCTCCACAGGCATCCGGAATGCATTCCTGAGCGGGAAGGTGGCCAGTCTCATGGGGGTGGAGGGCGGCCACTCCATCGACAGCAGCCTGGGCGTCCTGCGCACCTTCTACCGCCTGGGCGTGCGCTACATGACCCTCACCCACAACTGCAACACTCCCTGGTAGGACCCCGGGCATGAGGGAACCAGGATGGCATGGGGGGTGTGGTCAGGTGGCTGCCCTGATGCTCTCCCTGCTCCACAGGGCTGACAACTGGTTGGTGGACACCAAGGAGGAAAAGCCGGTGCACCATGGCCTCTCAGCCTTTGGGAAGGTGAGGAACAGCAATGGCAGCAGTGCCCAGGAGCAGTGGCTGAGGGGGGACATGGTACTGGCACCCACCAGCTGGGTGATTTGCCCTGGGTGCAGTGTCCTACCCATCCATAATCCATCCATTCTCCATCCATCCACCCATCCATCCATCCACCCATCCACCCATCCATCCATCCATCCATCCATCCATCCATCCACCCACCCACCCACTCATCAGTCCCATCTGCCAAAAGCCACTCAAGCAGTTCCAGCTGTGGGACAGGTTACTCCAGGGGACCCTCCCATACCTCCCTCCACACCCTCATCCCTGTTCCCATCCTGGTCCCTGTCCCTGCAGACGGTGGTGGAGGAGATGAACCGCCTGGGCATGATTGTGGACCTGGCCCACGTCTCGGTGGATACGATGAAGGTTGTGCTGAACATCTCCAAAGCCCCCGTCATCTTCAGCCACTCGTCTGCCTACGCCCTCTGTGCTCACCGCCGCAACGTGCCCGACGATGTGCTGCAGCTGGTGGTGAGCAGGGGCATGGCCAGGGCAGGCCAGGGGACACTGGGGGCTGTGGGGGGCCATGGGGCTCAGGACTGTTTCCTCCAGGCCTCCACGGGCAGCCTGGTGATGGTCAACTTCTACAATGACTACGTGACCTGCAAGAACACAGCCACACTGGCTGATGTTGCAAGTGAGGTGGTGTCCAGGTGGGTGGGGCGCAGCAGCGATGCCCCTGTCCCACTCACCTCAACCCCCCTGTGCCCGCAGACCACATGGACTACGTGAAGAAGGTGGCCGGGGCCCAGTCTGTTGGCTTTGGTGGGGACTACGATGGGGTCACACGGTAAAGGGGGTGATGGGTGCGGGATGAGCTGTGCTGGTGGGGCGGGGGGGGAATCTCCCCTGTGCCCTGTGTGGGCAGTTGGGGGGGTACAGGGGTGGCCCAGCTGTGAGCTGTGGGTGGCACAGGCTCCCCACTGGCCTGGAGGATGTCTCCACCTATCCTGCACTGGTGGCCGAGCTGCTGGCAAGGAATTGGACAGAGCAGGAGGTGAAGTTGGCCCTGGCTGAGAACCTGCTCCGGGTCTTCAGCAAGGTGGAGGAGGTGAGTGGGGCATGGGGAGCACTGGGATGCACAGGGCAAGCAAGGGGACAGTGGGAGCACAGGGATACTTGGGCCATGGGGACACAAGGGGCACTGGGTACACTGGGCACAGGGATGTACAGGGCATGGGGACACACGGAACAGGGAACACATGGTGCACAGGGGCACTTGGGGCATGGGGACACATGGAATACGGGACATGGGGGACAGGGACACTTGGGGCATGGGGACATAGGGAATAGGGGACACATGGGGCACAGGGACATTTTGGTCATGGGGTCACCTGGGGCAGCAGAGACAGGTGGAACATCAGAACTTGTGGCATTCAGGGATTTATGGGGATGTGGTTCATGGTTTGGCACTGGGACACACAGAGCAGGGGATGAATGGACATGTGTGGGATGGCATGGGGCGGCACAGGGATGTGCAGGGTGGCAGGGCTGTGTGGGGCCCAGGCACTGCCCCTCGCAGCAGGAGCCCACCTTATCCCCACATCAGGTGAAGGGGACCCTGCAGGGCACACCTGCCCACGAGACACCCATCGCCTCCGAGGAGCTGGACGGGACGTGCAGGACCAGCTACGGGTACTCCAATGGCTCCGGCACAGCCCGGCTCCTGCCCGCAGCCCTGGCACTGCCGCTGGCACTGGCCCTGCGCCTCTCCCTGCTCTCTTAACATCCAGCTGCCACCGTGGCCCTGCCGCCCTGCCACCCTGCCCGGGGGCTGCCGGGTTGGGCACAATCCTGCAGCCCTTCCTGCCGGAACCATCCGCACAATAAACCCGTGGCTCGAGCAGTGCCGGCAGCGACTGTCAGTGTGGGACCTGCGGGGACTCAGCGCCCACAAGCTCCTGGTTGGGATGATGAGCCACTCTGGCATGTCACGGGGCACCCTCGCGTGTCATGAGCCACTCTGGCATGTCACCAGTTGGGCAGAGGAGTAGGGTCCCGGTGGGTGCCCTCCCCGGGCACCAGGACGCCATAACTGCACCGGGAGTGACACATCCCGGCAACACCTGGCCAGGGCGGCAGCGCTGCCTCCGCAGGATGCTTCCATTAATCATTAGTTAATTAATTGGCTACTCAATTATCTCCTTAGCAATTTCCTCTCACATTCGGGAACAGCCTGTCTTCGGAGCGGAGGCGGAAGAACAGACAGGAGAAGGAGAGCCATCTTCCTGTGGTATTCAGGATTTGGCTGGGGCACAGAGCCCTCTGCCAGCCCGGCACGGGGAGGGGAATGGGGACACGGAAGAGAATGGGGACGGAGAAGGGATGAGCACGCGGAAGGGACGGGAACAGTGAAGGGATGAGCACGGGGAACGGACAGGCACGGAGAAGGGATGGGTACAGCACGGGACGGGAACAGGGAAGGGATCGGAGCACAGAAGGCTGCACCACCAGCCCCACAGCCCCATCCCCGCCTGTGAGGCTGCTGTGGGCAGGTGCCGATGGCAGAACCGGGGTGTAGAGCACTGGGGGTTCCCTCGGTGGGCTGACAATCCCAGGATATCCCCTTGGAAAGCCCGGCTTGTCCCCACGAGGGCCAGAGAACGGCACAGGGAACTGGGCCGATCCAGCCCCGCTGTGGAAGGGAGCTGGTCTCGAGCTGCCTCAGCCTCCCCAAGCTCCTGCTCACTCCGGTCACCCCTGGTTTGGCCACACGAAGGGGATGGGTCCCTGCAGGGGTGCAATGAGCGGTCCTTCCCCTCCAGCACTCCCAGAGCTGATACCCTTAGTCACTTCCCGGCCCCTGGATGGGCAGAGGCTGTGGGGGCAGGAGCAGCCCCTTCTTCTTCCTCTCCTCAGCTCCAGGGCAGCCCCTCGGCACCAGGTCCTGTCCCAGGGCAAGACCACAGCCCCGCCCCTGCATCCCAACACACACAGGAGTCCAGGGATTGTTTATTTAAATCCACGAGAGGGGAGGGGCACGGTTTGGGGAAAAAGAAGGCAAATGAGACAAGCTTAAAAAAAAAATCACCAAGGAAACCACGGAGATAGAGCCCAGGGGGGAAGGAGCAGGTCCAGGGCCCCCAGCCCCACAGGAACACTGTGCAGAGGGGCAAGAGCTAGGCACAAATCTCTGGGGTCCCCCTGCTTCCTGCTCAGCCCATCAAGAGGTGACACAAGATCCAAATGCTCTGGTATAGACCAAAGCCACCCCCTCCTCCTCCTTGGCACAGAGGAAGGCTCCGTGTCACCAGCCACACGCTGCCAAGGCCATTCAACTCAGGAAAAATAATCAGAGCAGCTGGAAGTGTTTGTGCTTTGAGTGCCGGGGAGGTGACCCTGTAGCCCCCGAGGCCCCCTCCCCACCCAGAGGTCAAAGTTCCTCCTGCAAGAGCCAAAGGAAACAGCGCTTCCTTCCTGGAGAGCTTCCAGCAATCCAGCAGCTCTGTGACCAGGGGTCACATGAGGGGCACAAACACCTCCAGCCCCAGGGGAAGGTGAAGGGGGATGAGCAGCAAGAGGGCACACGGGGAGCAGCCCCCACTCCCAGCCCAGTGCCAGCAGCTGGAGGGGACAGCAGATATCCAGGAATGAGGCACAGGGAGCGAGGCAGAACTGCTCTGGGATGGTTCAGCATTCCTGGTCACACCCATTGGGCGGGGGGGGACATTTGGGGACGTGTCTGCAGCCACCACAGCTGCTGCAATCTGCTCCCAGTGCTGGACATGTGTCCTCACTGGTCCAAACTGGAGGTCAGGGCCAGGATAATCATTTCCAGCTGGCAGTGGCTGGGGAGTGTGTGGATTGACACGCACAGGGCTGGGCAGGAAGGGTGCTCCAAAGGGCACTTCGTGGTATGGGGCTGGGGGGGGTCAGCCTGGTGGGATATGGGGACAGTGACTGGGAGGGAACGGATTCCATGGTGTCACCACCCCTTCCTGCAAGGCACTGACCTCCCCAGACCCACAGCCAGGCATAGGGCTCTTCCCACAGGGAATCTCCCTGCTCCTCCCTTATAGCTCCCAGGGAACCCACAGCGCAGCCCCAGAACAGGGAACATCAGAGGAGTTGAGGAGCAGCACCCCGAGACCAGGAGAGTCCCCTTAGTGTTCCATCAGCAGCGGGACATGGGGCACTGCCAAGCACCAGCAGCACCCCCCAACTTAAACCCCCCTAAAATCAGCCCCAGCAAAGCGTTCCTCAGCCCCGCCGGGATCGGCGCCTGCCCGGGGAAGGGCCGTCACCCCCAGAGGAACAGTCTCGAGGCAGGGGGGGCTGGGGACGGTGGCGGGAGGGGGTCCCGGCCCCTCCCCCCGCGGCCGTTCCAGCGATGCCTTCGGCAGGGGCCGCCGGAGCCTCAGTTCCGCAGGGCAGCCAACCTGGAAGGGAGAGCAGGAGAGGGAAGGGAGTCAGAGCAAACAGCCACAGCTCGGCAGCACCAGTGTGTCCAGGCAACAGATCTGCCTGGGAACCTCCCAGAAATTCTGCTCTGGAGCCACAGCTATGGCGGCTGAGGGTGAACTCAGGGCGTCCATCATGGACACAGCAGAGGCGGCGTGGAGAGCAGATTCCTTACTCCTCTTCTCCTCCTGGTCTCTCCTCCAGACTCTCCTGGTCCCCGTCCCCAGGTTGTCCCCCCTCCTGGTCCCTCTCCCTGCGCTGTTCCCACACTGCAGCCCCGGGGCTGTGCCCAGATGGGCCCGTGGTGCTGTGTGGGGGCAGGGAAGGAAGAGCAGCAGCTCCTCCTGGGGCAGTTCCAGGCAGAGCAGCTGTTCCAGAGCCGTCTGCAGGGCAGTGCCAAGTGCTCCCTGAGTAGAGCATCTGCCTGAGAGCGAGTGTGGAGCAGGGGGGAGGTCTGTCCTACCCCTCTCCCACCCATCCTACCCCTCTCCCACCAGTCTTGGCCCTCTCTTATCCACTGTCCAGTGCCAAACCCACCCTCTTCCCAGGCCACAGTGGCCCCACAGCCTTGAGGACTTTCTCGAGCATGAGGGAGAGGGCTCAGCCCCCTGGGATAGGCCAACTCTTTCCCTTCTTGCTGGTGAGGGCTCCCTGGAAGGACTAGAAGTGCCCAGGAGCCAGGAAAGTACCAACCTCCGAGACAGCTGGTCCTCCTGGGAGCGCACAGAGCTCTCCCCCACGGCCGAGGCCCCCTCTGGCAGCTGGCTCAGCTGGTCCATGATCTCCAGCCCATTCTCCTCGGCAATCTGCACAATCAGACTGTCCACCTGTTCCTGTGGCGTGCTCAGCGTGGTGGCAGAGCTCATGGAGTCCTCCATGACCTGGAACACACACAGCCCTGTCACCTTGCACAGCTCCTCCACCCTGAGACCCGGCGGGGATCCCACCAGGATCCCACCCTCCCTGTCCCCCTGGGCCCCCGTCACTCACCGACGTGTGAACATCCAAGTTCTGCACCTGCTGCTCGAATTTGTCCATCACTGCCGACACCTTCTGCAGGTCCATGGAGCTCAGGGCCTTGTCCAAGGCCTTGGTCACCTGAGCCATGTTCTTTGTCACCTGCAAGAGAAGATTTCTTCAGGGCTGCCCTGAGGGCAATGGATAAATCCGAGCCCTGCTGTGAGGCCCTCCAAGATAGGATGAACTGACCCCACCGGGCTTGGTGGGGTCACTCTGGGGGACGGGGGAGCCCAAGGTGTTTGGATGCAACTCCAGGGAGGGGAAGCTCCATCCTGAATCTACAGATTCCCCCGAGGCTCTTACCCCCTTCATGGTGACGGCTGTCTGCACCTTGGAGGCCACGGCATCCACCCTGGATGCCATCCGGAGCCAATTGAGCCCCTCATTCTTCTTCCGGATGGCATTCTCGGCATAGACCCGGGCACATTCCACGTTCTTCTGCTGCAGGGCCTGGGACACAAGGAATCCCTGCTCAGAGACCCCCCCCATGGCCTCAAACCACCACAGTGGGGGGTTCCCAGCAGGGAACAGCTCCCCCAGGAGCTGGGAATGCCCTGGGTCAGGAATTAAACCCCTCCTGGTGTTGCTGGATGTGCCACGTCCCCCTGGCAGATCCACGAATAGAGGGTGGGGAGGGGACCTGCCCCTTTCCTGCCCCCCCAGAGCAGGAGTGAGGATCTCCAGCTACCCCCATGGAGCTGAGCTCCCCCAGGATGGACCCCTACCCACCTTTTTGACCTTAGCTTGCTCAGCCTTGGAGTCCTTCTCAGCTTTCTTGGAGAGTTTCTCCAGCTGCTTTGCTGTAAACTGGGGAAAACAGGGGCAGAGTCATGGGATGCATCAGGTGGGAAGGGACTTCAAACACTATCCAGTCCCATCCCTGCCATGGGCCGGGACATCATCCACTAGCCCAGGTTGCTCCAAGACCTGTCCAACCTGGCCTTGGACACTTCCAGGGATGGGGCAGCCACAGCTTCTCTGGACAACCTGAGCCAGGGCCTCACCCTGTTCCTAGGGCAGGATTTATCTCCGTATCCCACCCTACCCACCCTCTGAAGTAGGAACCATCCTCCCGTGTCCTAGTCCCAGTGCCCACCCGGCCCAGCCCAACTACCTCCCGCCGGCCTCTGCTGCCCGACCCACTGCCCGTGGCACCCCCGGACACTCCCGCGAGTCGAGGCTCCTCCCGTGACGGTCCTGCCGCAGGAGGAGCCCCGATGAGGCCGAACCAGCGGTGGAACCGGCCCTGGGACCGTCTCGGGACCGGCGAGACGGGATGGAGAGGAGGCGGAGGGGCCGCCGCTGTGCCCTCACCTTCAGCTGGAAGAGTGTGTCTGGAAGGGAAGGAGAGCACAGCGTCAGCGACACGGCCGGGACCGGGGGATCGGGGTACCGGAGAACCGGGAGCCCCACCACCGTGTCCTG